ACATAAATATAACCTTATTTTGGACTCGAATACTTCCGACATTGTATTGATACGATTACTCTAGGGTTTTTCCCATCGGTCCAACCGCAAAAGGGGTCACCTTAGCATAAGGGATCCTATCAGCATAAGTGATTCTATCAGCATAAGAGGTCCCAGAAGTATAGCGGTCATGTAGGGATCACCCATTCTAGTATCAGTAGCTGTTTTCGTTTTTTAACAAAACCCTGAGGAGTTTTTAAGTTAAACTATACGCAAACGTTATTGGCCAATACGCATACAGTCAAGCTAACTTAATTTTTGTCGGGGTTCCTACATTGAAGTACTTATCAAAAGTCTTGACTCTTAAAGAGCGAATCATTCATGAGCAGAGCGTCGTATGTGTGACCATGCGAACACGTCACTTTTCTAAAGCGTAGATGTTTTAGTTACACGTATTAACTTGTTAATATTGTTATTTTGTTTTACATCTTGGGCTGTCTTTGGTATGTTGAACACACCGCTTCAGGGGCATTAGGCGTTGCATGTATGGCTCTAATGCACACATATTTGAACCTTGTTCAAAAAACAGCCGATAGCCCAGGGCTTATGGATTAACTATCATCAAGTTTGGGTCGAGAAAGGGTTGGGTGAGGGTGAAGCGGGTGGGGGGGGGGGGAGTTAGTGATTCTGTTTTTAATTTAATAACCTTGAATGTATAGCAGTGGCGTCACTGGGTCGGATGTCGCCTGGTTCGGATGTCGCCCCACCCTCTCCAATTTTTTATTTATTTTCAGTTTGGTGCCCCTCCCCTTACTAATTTATTATTTTAATTTTAAATGGACTAAACATTGTTTTGACAGAAAATTGTACGAAATTTTTGAATGTCGTGGTGTAACCCGGGTGTGGTTAGTAATGTTCTCATTCCCACCCCCCCCCCCCCCCCCCCCCTCAAACACATACCTTCTCTATTTTATTATTTAACTGCAGTTTTTAATATTTTTTTTTTAGAGATATTTCACTATTTGTGTGTGTGTGTGTCTGGCTGTCACCCGGTGCGGACCACACTCCTCCCCATCCTTGTTACGCTACTCATGTACAGGAGGGCGCACAAAGCCTGCATTGGTCTGGTTCTTGCTGGATCGCTAGTTTATGCAATGAAAAACATCTTTCGGTTTCATGGTGGTTTTAGTTTTAAGCATCCTTGTGTACAGGGGTTCCTAATTTAAAACATGCTCGTTGGTGCCACTATGTGTAAGAGTTACCGTGTATCGGCAGCTATAGGTATTTAAATCTATATTTACGTCCCTGTGTATTGGCACCCTTGTTTATTAGCGCCCCTGTGTATTGGGGCCCAAGTGTATTGGCGCCATTGTGTATTGGCACCCTTGTGTATTGGCACCCTTGTGTATTGGCGCCCCTGTGTATTTGCACCCCTGTGTATTTGCACCCCTGTGTATTGGCACCCCTGTGCTATGAAAAACATCTTTCATGGTGGTTTTAGTTTTATGCATCCTTGTGTACAGGGGTACCTAATTTAAAACATTCACGTTGGTATCACTATGTGTAAGAGTTACCGTGTATCGGCGGATATAGGTATATACATCTATATTTACGTCCCTGTGTATTGGCACCCTTGTTTATTAGCGCCCATGTGTATTAGTGCCCCTGTGTATTAGCGCCCCTGTGTATTAGCGCCCCTGTGTATTGGCGCCCCTGTGTATTGGCAAACAGTTTTCCTGTCTCCCCTTTTTGTATTATGGTACTTTTGTGTATAAGCCCCCTTGCATGAGCTTCTATCGACTTATCTGTACAAGAACCGCTATAGGCGCCCAAATGCAGGGGTCTTTATTGGTGTCTCTGTACATGAGCCTATGTTGGTGCACTTATCTATTGACGCCCATATATGGAATTCTTTGTTGGCGCCCCTGTACATTGGCACCCACATGTATGAGTCTCTATTAACGCCCCTGTATAGTAGCCTCTATCTGCACCCTTCTGTATATCGCCCCCTGTGTATGATCATCTACCGGCGCCCCTGTGTAAAATTACCTTTGTGTACCGGCACTGGTAGATGGCGAACTGAAGCTGTATCTAGTGTAAGCAAAGGGAAAACCCCCGGGCTGTTTTTACAAACACTATTAAGTGACTGCTGGGGGGCCAGTCCTAGAGTTTATTTAGAATTACCCCCGTCTTTTTGTCTGTGACTGTAGGGGGGGGGGGCAGTCCTAGAGTTTACTTAGAATTACCCCCCCGTCTTTTTGTCTGTGACTGTTGGGGGGGGGGGGGGGGGGCAGGCCTAGAGTTTACTCAGAATTACCCCTGCCATTTGCCTGTCAACCTGAAGCACACAGGAATGTTCGTGTGAACAAGCAACGTTTTTAAAAGTCTCAACGTGGAATGTGAATCACGGAGTGATTTCCCCTGGGGAGTTATCTCCCCTCACGCCGCCCCCCCCCCCCTCCCCTCTCAAGACGTACCTATATCATGTATGTAGGGTCGCAATTGTGTTCCATGAGATATGGATTGAGCTCGGCCTATGAACGGGGTTACCTGTAGAGGAAGTGTCGTTTATTCCCGTAGACAGCCTTTGGGCTATCTATTACCCATAAAACATTTGGATATCGGCGTATCAAGATTTGGCCAGAAAAAAAAACGAATTTTAAGCCGACTTTAATTATTTCCTTATGCCATCGTGGAAAGTTTCAAGCAGTTATATGATACGCTCCCATGCTACACACATTCCATGTAAGGGAAGTAACGAGTGTGCAAAATATATTTTGTGCTCTGGCACGACTTAATATAAGGTCATTAGAATTTTACAAAATGACTGCGCTGCCGGTTTACTACCAGTGTTTCTTTCATACATTTTTTGGTGGTGGGGGGGGGGGGGGGCGGCTTAAAATTTCGGGGGGGGGGGGGTAGGGGAACACTGGTTAAAATAATTATTTTTATATAAATTGAATATGTATCTATTTTGCTCTGGGGTGGGATCGGTGGATATGATCCGGCGTGAGTGTCCCCCCAACCCCCCCCCCTCCCCTCACTCTCCCGAGGAGATGCCCGAAGGAAACAACCGCGCGGCCGCACATCTTAGAAAGAACCTCTCCTCCCCCCCCCCCCCCCTCCCATTTCGTAATAATAAGAATTTTGCCTGCACCGTAGCATGCCCATCTATTCGGGCGATCAATATGTCTGTCTGGCGATCGTTGGCTTGTCTGTAATCTCAGAGAAATCTTGTCTGTCCCCTGCTCTGGTTGATGCTTCTCAAATCTCATGCCTGGCCTTGGGTTGTTTTTTTCCCCTTCTTTTAAACTCTATTTCAAGAACGAAGGTTTATTCAATGCAGCGAATGGGGTGTCTGTAATGTTGGATGTATGTATACAATTTTAGCCTTAGTGAAAACTTCCTGCACAGCTTCTTTCGAGCCTCTCTCCGTGGGGATATCTATCCCCATCTCCCAATGAAATAGAAAATAATATACATTTATTATACAAAACTTCTAACTGCAATTGGACTTCAATACCCTTGCCTTTGCTTATCTTCTTTAGGCAGAATAGACATATTTAATCAAGAAAACATCTTTGTTTCAGAAAACATATTTAAAAAATTTTTTAGCATGTTTTCCTGCATTAAAATAAATTTGCGTTCAAACATGCGTTTGTAAACTAGTGTACGTTTGATTATTTAAATTAAGTTCACTCTAGATCGCTTAGGATACACAAGTAGTAGGACTAGAGCAGGATGAAGGAATGATTTTACGTTCATACATTTTCATTTCTAAAAACTACATTTTAACCTAATATAAGTATAATACTTTATTGATACGATATTGACTATTTTTTAAAGTGTTTAATAATTACAAAATCAATACTAATATCATTTAATTAAATTGTTTGAGTTATCTTGTTTACTCATTATTGGTAATATTGATACTTAGATCTAAAGTATCATCTAACTTTGCAATTAAATAAAACCTGAATTCGAAAATTACAATTTTATTTAGCAGATTAAAATGACAACACTCAATTAAAATGTGTGTGTCATATTACAAAATTAGAATTAAAAGAAGAAATTGGATATACATAATAGAAGAGTAACTATGTCACTTTCCCGAATACGTCCATGAACAAGTGTTGATAAATTAAACAATGCCAGCCGTAGCTCCAAACTATTTTTGTTTCGTTAAGTAGAATGCACGGGTTGCGATCTGCAAACAATACAAAAAGAAAGAAAAAAAACTTTGGGAAGACAAGTAGTCAGGGAGCACAATCTGGACAAACAGAAAAACCGAAACGTTTCACTTGGTTAAACAAACGGTCCAAGCTAATGCTGTGCACACAACACTTCCGTGCGCCACTTTCGATTCCTCAGCCATGTCAAACATAGTCCTCAATTTCGGTGAATATTTACACAAGCCCATAGTGGTCACTTAGCTCGCGACCTCGGCTTACTGAGAGGAATGTTGGACAAGCAATTTACTAAAAGCCAACAGGTACTATAGCGGATCATTATTTAGATCTAGATTTCTGCGCCAAGAGTAGTTACACAAAGTGGCCAGTTATTAGTTAAATTTTACGCCAAAATAATATTTGCAGTTTTGTTTGGAGGTAGATTTTATAATTTCTTTCGCCACTGTAGGTCGAGCTGACCAAATACGGTTTTTACTTTAAAATAGAATATAGATCTAGGTCATCCATATAAAAAAATACATTCCACATCCACGAACCACAACATAGGCCTATACTATTTAATTTTTTAAATTCCGTTATATTGTAGTTTGTAGTTACCCGTATCATTTCCTTTCATTGTAATGCAATAAAAATATTCAGTTGACTTCATTCTTTATATATAGGCTTAAAAAAAAAATCAGCAACACATACTTATGTTTAATGCCTGCCTATTTTGTAAACTGTTGCAAACAACAAATTGTACCCCTTCTTTCTGATATAGTCCTATGTGACAAAGGCCTAGCTGTTATACTTTATTAATTTTAATGAAATGTTTTGTTTTCTTTTTTTGAGATGGACAGGAAAAAAGGGTCGCCGGGGAGAAACAGAAATGTATTCAGAGGCTCTGTGCTTGTTTCCATACTGGTAGAAAGCCACCCCAAGCAATTCCCTGACAGGGCTGCTGCCTTCAAACTTGGCCAAAGACTTTTTCGGTAATTAATTTACTTACAACTATATGCATGTAGCTTGAACTTTGCCAAATAAGTTTACCTTTTGAAAAAATCGCTAAGTTCGAGATGTTTATATTATATTTTTTTGTTAAAGAAGTATGCTTTTTAAAAAAAAATCACTGTATTTTTCGAGATCTTTTTTTTTTGTTAACTGATTTTATATTTCTTTGCTGAATAAGTATTCCTGTTTTAAAAATTACAGTAAAGTTCAGGATCTTTTTTTGTTAACTAATTTTATATTTTATCAAAATCTTACTTTTAAAGCTATTAATGTCCAGGCTTCACATTATAAATATTATAAAAATTTATTTTAATTTTTGAGAATATACTAAAAGAAAGATCAAAGTAAGATTTGTAGTCACATATTATGTTTTATTTTTAAAAGTGTGGTTGATTTTGTTAAAGGCCTAGTTGTTGTTAATATATTTTAAAATTTTTATTAATTTCTTTATTAGAAACTAAAATTTACCATATTTGGTTAACATTTAAACTACTTAACTCAATAAGCCAAAATTTAAAAATTAAACTTTACTTTAAAACTAAAATATTTTCATTTAAAACTTGCTTTTCTTTTAAGATTGTAGCTTACCTGTTCTCTTATCTAATTGTAGTGAAGGTCAGATTCGAAGTATCTTTGGTTCCAATGAGTTCCAAGACTCAGCCCAGCTCTATGTCTGGTGTGATGACGATGGTCGCAGGAAGGAAAATGAACAGACTATGACATCACCTACCTCTTCCTCTGGCAGGTGGGAGATTCTTGCTTTTGGTTTTTAGAGAATTTGACACTTTATAAATCAGAACAGTTTACATTTTTTTACAGAATTAAACACTGCATGATTAGAATAGTATACATTTTTGATACATAAAGTTAATACTTTGTAACTGGACATTTTTTTTTACATAATTAATTACTTCACAATTGGAAAAGTATAGATTTGTTAATATTTTTAACATCATATAACAGGAATAGTATCATGTTCTAAACATATTTTACCATTTTCATAATTGCAACAGTAGGTCTATACATTTTTTACAGAATCCAATGCTTCAAACCTCACATATACATTTTTTTTTACAAAGGGGTCATCCATAAATGACGTCACACTCTTAGGGGGGAGGGGGGTCCGTAATTTTGTGACGATGTGTGATGAGGGGGAGGGGGTTCAGATGTTGCGACGTCACATTTTTGCATTATAAAAAAGCAATGTTAGAAAACAAATTTTTGACCTTATTTCGCGTTTTAGATAACTGTTTTAATAAATTGTAATAGTTTAGACAAGATTTTGGAAAAATATCGATGTTTTAAAAATTAACTGCAATTTTGAGGGGAGTTGTAGGTTGAGGTGTGACGTCATTTTAGGGGGGGGGGGGGGGGTCTGGCTTTTTGTGACGACGTGTGACGGAGGGGAGGGGGGGGAGGTAAAAATCATCAAAAAAAGCGTGACGTCATTTATGGATGACCCCAAAAGTGAATTCATCATACTCATAGTATACATTTCTTTTACAGAAATGAACACTTCAGAACTGGACATTTGTTTACTGAATTACTATATAATCAAAATTTTTATAGAATTTAGCTCTTCATAATTTATTTACAAAATTGAATAATAGATTATCACATTTCAAGCAATTTTTTTATTGCAGAAAATAAATCATTAAAACATTAATTGCAATTTGAATTCTGCAAAAGAAATAATTTACATTTATGGAATTTAAATAAAAATAGTGTTTCCTTCATCATTCTTACAAATATTTGTGTATACACTTTTAAGTAATCTACTTTTATGTCATTGTTTTCTTTAGCTTCTCGAGTGCCTCCCAAATCAAGTCAGACCTCAAGTTAATTCAGGACATCAAGGACAAAGTCCTGAACCGCAGCGAGGCCTACAACATTGTGACGTCCTACAACACATTTTTCCAGGAGCTGGAGCAGGACTTTGGCTTAAGTCATGACCCCCAGTCCTCAAGAAAAGTCAACCCTGCAGGCAGCAACTCGTACAATGTTCCTTACACCAGCACACTAGAACACAAGAAAAGCACAGTCTACTCCACCGACAGCTCCGTGGAGACGCCAAACAACTCAGGGCAACGTGGCGGCGCTAACGACGATTTACATCATCTTAAACCTGGTTTACCGTCACCTCATTCAAAACATTCCGCAGATACGTCTCCTCGTCTGGTACACGATGGGCGGCATTTATCCCAGAAAGTAAATCATATACCTCAAAGTATTCCAGAACTTTCTAACAATAGTCCTCATACCCCTGGTGATTCAGCTTTGCGGGCTCAGCCTGCGCCTAGTACTAATAAAAAAGGAATTCATTCTTCGCAAGAAGCCCCGCCTCATTTGAAACATGCTCCTAATCAAACTCCAACCAATCATATTCGTCCGCAACAGTTAGCCCTTGTAACGCCTGACACGCCTCGAAGTGATAGTCAGACGGACTCAACCATAGTCGGGGAAGACAGGTTAGGTAAAAATATTAAATCTGACACCAAACAACCCCCCGTGCCTGCAAATATGGATTTTGACGTAGGTTCCAGTAATGTTGGCACTATTAGCAGCCAGGTGTCTTCTGTTGTAGCAGAGGGCAGTGATAACACCACCATACCTCAAGCAGCGGGTGATGCTGTACATAGCAGGAATAACAATTGGACTCAGGGATCTTCATTTTCTCATGCCGCCACCCCTTTCAAAACAAAATGGACTGAACCATCTTCTGTCACACCCAATACAAACTTACATTACGCTTCTTCTGAGATTGTGGATAGGGTGGAGAGCAGTGAAAGATCGAGGTGGTTGGACGTGGTCAATGAGGGCGGGGATAATGGCCGCAGGTGGCCGGAGAGTACGAACTCGTACTCGGACAACGAGAAGCAGCTTCTGGAGGAGATGAGGCGGATGAAGAAGGAGCATCAGAACACGCTGAGGACGTACGAGGGCCGCATCAACAAGCTGATGGCCAAGATGCATGAGCTGAGGAACATTGCTGAGATGCTGGAAAACAGCTCAAACAAGTCCTCGCCCTACGGGGTTCTGCCAGGGAAATTAGCATTACTGAATATATTGGGTAAGTCTTACGGGGTTCTGCCAAGGAAATAAGTCCTTGCCCCTAAGGGGTTCTACCAGGGAAATTAGCACTGCTCAATATTTTGGGTAAGTCTTATGGGACCTTGCTAGGAAAATTAACTGTGCAATATTTTGTGTAAGTCCATGTGTTATGGGGTTCTGCAAGGGAAGTTTCCCAATATTTTTAGTAAGAATTATTGGGGTTATGCTTGATAATTTGAAGTGCTTAACATTTAGGGTAATTCTTATGGGCCCTGCCAGGGAAATTAGCACTGCTGGATTTTTTTGGTAATTTGAGATGAGCATATATTAGTGAAAAAAATTAGAAATAGAATTGTCAAATGTAATCTCTCATCAATACCTTATTCCATTTCCTCAATACTTATAACTCCAAGAAACATACTGAAATTTGATTTTGAGATTCTACTCTATTCTTGCATGTAATTCTACATTTTAAGTTTATAGATTTACTTATATCAGCAGAAATCCTCTTTTAATAAAGTTAATATTTGGATACTTAAAATAAATGTCTATTTGCTTTTATAAACTTAAACCTCATAAAATATATTTTATTCTTGCTTAAAGTTATTAAGTATAGGTGTTTAAAAAATATAAGAACAGTGCCACATAATGGTTGCTAACAGTGTATTAAGTCTGGTTAATGTTAGAATCTAGAATGTCTATGTGTAGGCTTCTATCTTTGACTGCTCAATACTACACATGTAAAGTTTAGCTGCAGTAAATTCTATACAACTTAGCACACAGTCAATTTTGTCCATGTCATGCTTGACTGCTTTCTTAATGAACCAGGTGACAAGGATCTGGACATGAAGAAACTGACCCCTATATCTGGATCCCTGGAGACTGACCAGGTGCCCCCACCCCTCCCACCCCGGCCGGGGAGAGGGACCAAAGTGTACCCTAACAAACCAATCATTCACACAGCAGTCTCTATGAGGAACTTGTCTTGGTCTAGGATTATATTAGAGGACAACGGTGAGCTATGCAGTAGGAATTAGAGTTAAATTAATATGTTATTTAACAATTGTTTAACTATGTTTGTCAGTAATGTGTTTTGTTGATTAAATATTAAATAATAAATGTTAAGACAAGTTTTGATATTGGTAAGTATATAGCCTAACTAGATTGTCATTTGGAATTAACACATTATTCAACTATATGCTTACAGTAAAAAGCTTTATTAATTTAATAATTAAATTTGTTAATTAAATAATAGTTGCAAAGATAGGTCTTGGTATTGGTAAACATATAGACAGGCTACATAGCTGATTAATTAGAATCAAGGCATTATTCTACTATGCTGCAGAATACATTTTTCAGTCAGTATTAGGGATTGTTTAAATACTAATAGGCCTACATTTATAGACAGTTAGATATTGGTTAATAACTGAATGCTGTTATGAAAAGTTGGGGTTTGATTCCTAAATTAACTTAATTTAACAACAATTTGTGACTAAACAGGTTAAAATTAATGTACTTTATATAAAAACACCTTAGTTCTATTCTTAGTGAATAGATCTAGTTGCATTTTTGTAATTTTAGCATTGTTTGTCTATTTATCATTTATATCTTGAGATCTATTTTATGTTTTATTTACAAATTCAGGAAATTAGTCATTAAAAACTATTTTTCACTACAACTTAGATAGGACAGTTTAAATAGTATTTAAATTAAATGTAAACATTTCAATGAGTTTGAAATATGTGTGACCCTTCTACTATCTACATATCCAGTTATTGAAATACTGTCTAACTGCACTGTTCGGTCAGCCTTAGGCTGAAAACCACCACATTGCTGTCAGATTGAAAGCCATCACATTACCATTCCATTTAGTAACTGCACTATTAGGTTAGCCTCAGGCTAAAACCCACAACATTGTGATGTTTAGCTGAAACCAACAACATTACCACTCCATTTACTATTATGTTAGCCTCAGGCTAAAGCCCACCACATTGCTAAGTTTGGCTGAAACCAACAACATTACCACTCCATTTACTATTAAGTTAGCCTCAGGCTAAAGCCCACCACATTGTGATGTTTGGCTGAAACCAACAACATTACCACTCCATTTACTATTAAGTTAGCCTCATGCTAAAGCCCACCACTTTGCTAAGTTTGGTTGAAACCAACAACTTTACCACTCCATTTACTATTTTGTTAGCCTCAGTCTAAAGCCCACCACATTGTGATGTTTGGCTGAAACCAACAACATAACCACTCCATTTACTATTAAGTTAGCCTCAGTCTAAAGCCCACCACATTGTGATGTTTGGTTGAAACCAACAACATAACCACTCCATTTACTATTAAATTAGCCTCATGCTAAAGCCCACCACTTTGCTAAGTTTGGCTGAAACCAACAACATTACCACTCCATTTACTATTAAGTTAGCCTCATGCTAAAGCCCACCACATTGCTAAGTTTGGCTGAAACCAACATCATCACTCCATTTACTATTATGTTAGCCTCATGTTAAAGCCCACCACATTGTGATGTTTGGCTGAAACCAACAACATTACCACTCCATTTACTATTAAGTTAGCCTCATGCTAAAGCCCACCACATTGCTAAGTTTGGCTGAGACCAACAACATTACCACTCCATTTACTATTATGTTAGCCTCATGCTAAAGCCCACCACATTGCTAAGTTTGGCTGAGACCAACAACATTACCACTCCATTTACTATTAAGTTAGCCTCATGCTAAAGCCCACCACATTGTGATGTTTGGCTGAAACCAACATTACCACTCCATTTACTAGTAAGTTAGCCTCAGGCTAAAGCCCACCACATTGCTAAGTTTGGTTGAAATCAACATTACCACTCCATTTACTATTATGTTAGCCTCAGACTAAAGCCCACCACATTGCTAAGTTTGGCTGAAACCAACATCATCACTCTATTTACTATTAAGTTAGCCACAGGCAAAAGCCCACCACACACCACATTCCTGTAAAGAAACATTGCTAGACATGCCAGCCTGGCAATTGTAAATAAAAAGCAATAAAGAAAAGTAGGTTACACAGTTCACTGACCAGATTTAGCAGACTTGGGCACACACTGACCTAAGGCAGGGTAACACCAGTTCAATGGAGCAGAAGTCAAACAGACTGAGGCATGGAGTGTAGAGATAAGGAAATAGTGTTGACACTGGTCTGCTCTAGCTGACAACAGTAGTGGAACACTTTAAATAGCTTACATTTTTACTTTTTTTTTAACTACATGTAGGTGACAATGTTTTCTATAAAAAAGAATGACGGTAGTCAGTGTAATTTTTTTTTTCTTATTCATTTACACTGTCATGTAATACCTAAGTAGCTTTATTTAAATTTTCCTTGTTTGGATCATTTGTTTTTGATAAGTATCTATAAAAGTAATCAGAGAAGTATAACTATAATTAAAATAATTTGAAAAATAATAATTAAAATTATAATAATAATTAACTGTAAGTATAATAATAATTTTAGTTTTCAGATTGAGTTTTTTCAATGTGTTGTCAAAAGAATAAATTTAAAAAAACATATCTTTTCTTTCAAAAGATAAATCTTTTTTCTTCTAATTAATTTGTTTTTAACCATCAAGATCAATTACATTTGTGTATATTAATTATGTGATTTGATTGAATTAAAACACTGTCACAATGTTTTTTTTCTAAAATGAACAAACAAAAAAAAACATGACAATTATTGTATTATCAAACAAACAATCAATAAAATATTTTCTACAACATAAAATCAATAAAAATATTTGCAACAAACACAAACAATCAATAAAAATATTTGCAACAACACACAAACAATTAATGTAAACTTGTGTAAAATCAAACAAACGATCCATAAAAATATTGTCAACACCAAACACAGACAATCATTAAAAATATTTTCAACTATTTTCCAGGTGGAGAGCCAGTGAACACAGTCTGGCATGGAATGATTGAACCAAAGATTGACACAACAGAGCTAGAAAGGTTATATTTTATATATCACAATATCTTACTTTATCATTGGTCTATTATTCATTCAAGCAATTAAAATTTTTTTAAAAATGTCTTATTTGTGCAGTAGTCTTCTTAATGGCTAAAAAAAACATGACTAACTAAACAATTGTTTGCAGTTCAGTTTTATGAGAATACACTTCAATAATGTCAAGATTTATTGTAAAAAGAGCCCTTTCAGTCTAGAATACCAAAGCTGCTGATTACTTATCTCAAAGTCCTGAGTTTGATTCACATGCCTGAATCAGTAAGACATCTCTGAGTCTGTTCAGCTAGATGGGTACCCATCATCAGTTGGGGGAAAGTTCTCTTTTGCAGCTAGATGGGTACCCATTATCAGTTGGGGGAAAGTTCTGAGTCTTTTCAGCTAGATGGGTACCCATCATCAGTTGGGGGAAAGTTCTAAGTCTTTTCAGCTAGATGGGTACCCATCATCAGTTGGGGGAAAGTTCTGAGTCTTTTCAGCTAGATGGGTACCTGTCATCAGTTGGGGGAAAGTTCTGAGTCTTTTCAGCTAGATGGGTACCCATCATCAGTTGGGGGAAAGTTCTGAGTCTTTTCAGCTAGATGGGTACCTGTCATCAGTTGGGGGAAAGTTCTGAGTCTTTTCAGCTAGATGGGTACCCATCATCAGTTGGGGGAAAGTTCTGAGTCTTTTCAGCTAGATGGGTACCCATCATCAGTTGGGGGAAAGTTCTAAGTCTTTTCAGCTAGATGGGTACCCATCATCAGTTGGGGGAAAGTTCTGAGTCTTTTCAGCTAGATGGGTACCTGTCATCAGTTGGGGAAAAGTATAGATGGCTTGGTAAAATGATGACTACACTAACACACACTCTAAATTATCTGCCCCATAGTCCATCAAGGCTTTCATGGCTAAATCTAATTATCTCTTTGTTTTACAAATTAGTAAAGTGAATATCAGTTAAAAATAAAGTGTAATCGGCTTCCATGACTAAATCTAATTATCTCTTTGTTTTATGAATTAGTAAAGTGAATATCAGTTGAAAAATAAAGTGCATTAGGCTTCCATGACTAAATCTAATTATCTCTGATAAATTAGTACAGTTAATATCTGTCTAAAAATAAAGTGTAATACTGTTGTGTAGATGTGTAATTGTAAGCTGATTTATTGTTCCAGATTATTCTCTAGTGAATCTGATATTCCCAGTGACGTCACTCTCTATGATGACATCTGCTTGCGAAGGGGACGGACAAAATCTCAGGTCAGTATAGTCATTGTCAGTATTATGACGTTAGTATGACATCAGTGGTTTTCTATGATATTTATTTGACAGCAGTGCCTGTCAGTGTCATTATTTTTATGACAGCTGTGCCTGTCAAAGCGTCATTGTATTTTATAGGACAGTTGGCCTAGTGTCTGTCAGTATAATCATATTTAAATGACAGCAGTGTATGTCTCAGTGTCATTAATTTTATGTCAACATTATCTGTCAAAGTTTGATTATGTTTTATTTGAAAGCAAGCTTGTCGACGTTTCAATATATTTAATAAATCAGCTGCATCTGTCAATGTTATACAAGTTGTTACTTTGACAATATCATGTCAAGTAGTGGTTTTGAAAAAAAGTACATAATTGCCATTGGTAATGATATTAAATGATTATAGCAAAAACTAATGTACTTGAATGTTTTATTGTCTTTTATTATAACGTATTATTTTATATAATTTTTGGTTACAAATTTTAATTTGCAGGTTGTAATAATTTAAGATGCAGACAGATCACAAAGAATTATATAAAATAAGTAAAGATTCCTCTTTAAACCTAACGATCCATTGGGCAGACGAAGTGGAGTTCATATGTTGCTTGACCTCGGTATATAAAAGGATAATGTGGTCAGAACTATGCCCAGCCACCTTAACTTTCCCTTACTTGAGTTAGGTACCCATCAGAGTTGGATGGACTCAGCGACGTTCCACTAACTTGAACCTGGATTCGAACTCAAAACTATTTGGTTAGCAGTCTAGCACTCCACTGCTAGGCCACACCGTCCCACAAAGAATTATATCAGTGCTTAAATCTTTTATTTAAATTTATTATTTTATATACATTCCTGTAACATTTTTTAACTTGCAGGTTGTGACAATCTATGATGCGGACAGGTCACAAAGAATTATATCAGAGCTCAAGTCCCTCCACTGTAAACTGCACCAGGTGATACAGGCATTTGCCACCCTCAACTGTAATGACCTTCACACTGACAGTTTTGCCGAGCTTCTGGAACTGCTTGCCTCTCAGAGAGAGCTGGATAAGATACAGCACCATGTCAAGAGGAAGGGGGCAGGTTGGTGGATGCCATTTGTTTAAAGTAGACACCAATCAGTTCCCTCTAAAGGAAAAAGCTAGTGTGCTAAATGTATTTGCTGTGCATGCTGTTATAATAATAAAAGTCTTATACAAGGATATATTTATTTTACAAAATCACTGAGCGGCAGCTCAAAAGTACTGCGTGGCTGCACAACCCCGCAGCTTAGAGGGAACATTGGTCACTCCTCTTGTCTTGTTAGATATCTAGATCTTACCAATTAGCCATTGTAGCAATTGTTACAATTTGTAAGTGGCGGTGTGGTTGAATGGTAGAGCGTTTGGCTACTAACCCGAAGGTCTCAAGTTTGGATTGCGGTCTGGTTTTCTGGACTGTAGGATGTCCCTGAGTCCACCCAGCTCTAACAGGTACCCTACTCATATTGGGGAGAGTATTGACGGCAAGGGATGGTGGTGACCACACTGTCTCTTCATATGCCGAGGTCAAGAAACATATGAGATCTACTTCATCTGCCCTATGGATCATTGTTCTTATTCAGCTTAGCCATAACCAAACTATTTAAAATATATATAATTTATACAAAGATGTTTTATTAGTTTTCCTGAAATTTAATTAGGTCATCTTGAGAAATTTATTTTTTCGGGTAAAGTAATATTAAACTATTCAAATACTTCCTCAGGTCACTTAGATATCCCAGAGTTCCTTGTCTTTGAACTTTCAAAAGTGGATCATTTCAGAGAGAGGCTAGAATTTTTACGCTTTAAGAATAAACTCCAGATCAACCTTTTTGAAATAGGTGATTGATTTTTTACTGACAAATTTTAATCTAGTTTTAATTCACAAATGTTCATTTACTTTTACTTACAAGTATACGTTTATAATTTTACTTACAATTTCCAAATGTACAATAATTTTTTTTTAGAAAATGATTTAAAAAATCATTAAAATCTAACCAAAATTTTCCATTCTTAAATTAATTTTGAATTGGTTTTGTTTTATTGTTAACTTCCAGCTGACTTTTACAGTTTTATAATTTTGTTTACATTTGTCAGATCAACAACTTCGAGAGCTACATACTGCATGTGAGGAAATCACTACCAGGTTAGTTATGATAGTTTGTTGATGTCCAGCTGTTTAAACTGAAATATAGAATTCAATTCAAGCTTTGTTGTTGTAGGTGACTTAAAGTTTTAGGGTCTAATTTTTTTTTTTTAGAACTGAGTTGTTAATGAGCTGTTAATCTATGATTCATTAAAATATTTTATTTTTTTTTATCTAGAAGTAAAAATCGTTTTTCTAGTTTCGGTTAGTTGCTTCATACTATTACTAAGTTTTTTCTTGTTCTATATTTTAGAGGCAATGGTTTCAATTTTATTTTTAGTTAACCTTTTACATTAGGTAAATGCAACACTGTAGCATAATTTATTAACTTTTCTATTTGAAAAGTTGAAATTTTAAAGTTTTAGTTATTGTAATAAGTTTTGAAATGAAATTGTTTTCTATATTCAGCCTCTCCTTGAAGCATGTCCTCGAGACAGTCTTAGCAGTTGGAAACTACATGAATGCTGGGACTGACAAGGGGCAGGCTGATGGTTTTAAAATTGATGGGCTCAAAACACTGAAAGAAATAGAGGACCCTGTATGTAATGTCTTAGATATTGATAAAAATGTCAAACATTTAATAGCAGTCACTGTTTTCTTTATCTTTTGCTCTTTTATGTTTGTACAATGCGCATGTTGTTTTTTGAATACAAGTAGGCCTATAACGTAACGTCTTCTTTAAAACATTTTTATATAGATTTTCATTTGTTGTAAGAATCACTTCCATAATGCTGATATAAAAAAAATAAAATAAGGATACACTTTTGGAAATGATTGTCAATAGGTTCTAATTATGTGAAGTAGAGTTCACCTTTTTCCATGATTAGGTTATAAAGATATACTTTGGTTGGTGCCTTTACTTTCTCTAACATAAGTCAGTGTGGCACCTTTCAGAGCTGGTTGTGAGTTTTCGAAACTCTTATCCTTACCCTAGCATTGATTTCAAACGAAAAACCCTAGAATAAACCAAGCTTGATACAATAAAGAGAATATTTTGGTTGTAGACTGGTATTGAGAAGTTGTTAGTCCCTTCCACAATACTCTAAAAGAGGGGTTCAATTGGTTAATTGTGTGCCTTATTTTAAAAATATTTATCATATTTGTGTTTCAGTCCAAACAGTGCAATCTCCTGGAGGTGGTGATGAGAATCTACTGCCAGGTCTTTGAGTCAGACCTGGAGTTTGGCTGTCCCACACGGTTCCGCTTGCCTGAACCCTCTATCATGAGACATGCAGCACAGGTAGAGAGTTTGAATTTCTTAGCTTAGGTTTGAATTATAGCAATAGTAGGGAAATTTGAATCTCTTAGCTTAGTTCTGAATTATAGCAATAGTAGGGAGATTTGAATATCTTAGCTTAGGTCTGAATTATAGCAATAGTAGGGAGATTTGAATATCTTAGCTTAGTTCTGAATTATAGCAATAGTAGGGAGATTTGAATATCTTAGCTTAGGTCTGAATTATAGCAATAGTGGAGTAATTTGAATTTAAGGTAAAACTAAGATATTTCAGTATTTAGACTACTTTCTTGTGTTAATAGTCAAAGATTTAATTTTAACATATTACCTAACTCTGAAGTAAACTTTCAGATTTACTAAGTTTTGTTGAAATAAATGCAATGTTTCATTAATTGAAAAATTTTGGAGTTGTAATCAATCAAATAATTTAATATACATTATAAATTATGGTTTCAATCTATTAAATTAACTTATGTATTTCTACAGGTTTCATTTGAAGATATTCAAAGAGCACTCAAAGAGTTAAAAGAGGAATTATTTTTTGTCAAAAATAAGGTGCAAACATAAAGTTAATTTTACACTCTAGTGTAGGCAATGTTAAATCTGTTGTAGGTCTTTCTTTATTGGATAGTCTCATAGCTATATACAACACGTCCAAAATTATTAATTTCTACTAAAGTTTAAAATGGTATCAATAATTAACTGACTTTAAAACAATTTTCAGCTTGAGTCCCTGACCAAACGAGAAGGCAATACAGTGACTATAGCCCTGAGAGTGACCAGTGAAAATTTTATGGTGTCTGGTATGTGGGGGTCTTTCAGAAATCTTTCTTTTACACTTTTCTAATTATTAAATAGAGATAACTTGTAAAATTACTCAAATATTTTTCAGTTTAATTTGTCTAACTGTTAAATAAACACATAAAAGTACATTATACATATTAAATTCTGAAAATCAAGCCATTAAAAATAATTTAAAAGTAATGAAGGGAAACCACTCTAGTGATATTAATTTTTTATATTTTGTGCTTGGTTTTTCTAGCCATGGAAATGTTAGCAGATGAACAGAAGTTGCTGGACAACACCAGAGTCTATTTTTGGAAGACTGCTGCCTTCTACAGCCACGATGGCAGACAGTCCACCCCAAATGATTTTTTTCAGGTAAGTAGTGTAGACTATAATAAGAGCTTAATTATTCAAAATTAATTATCAAATTAACATTAAGTTCTCTTTTATTGAAATTTCTGAATGGTTTAGCGGTAGAGAGTTGGACTGCTAACAATGACGTCTCAAATTTGAATCCTGGTTCAATGACGTCTCAAATTTGCATCCTGGTTCAAGTCAGTAGACTGTCCCTGAGTCCACTCAACTCTGATGGGTACCTAAAGTAAAGGCGGCTGGGCATAGTGCTGACCACACTATCTCTTCATATGCCGAGGTCGCAGAACTCTACTTCACTTGCCCTATAGACTGTCCGGTTTGAAAAAGGAACTTAACTATTTTTATTGAAATTACGATGGCATGGTTGAGTGTTAGAGCACATGATTACTAACCCCACAGCCTTGAGTTCTGTTCATCTCCTGAAGTCTTTAGGGTGTGTTGAGTCCACCAAGCTCTAATCAGTAATTGACGTTGAGTTAGGGAAATTAAAGGTGTCTGGGCATAGTAATGTTCAATTCTCCCTTACTGTATTTTAAATTATCTCTTATTGTAATTAGGATGGCATGGTTGAGTAGCAGAGTACATGGCTACTAGCCCAACAGTTTTGATCTCTGTTCACCAGCTGAGTTTTTTAGGGCGTCTGTCCACTCAGCTCATATCTGGAACTGATTTGAGTTGGGGAAAGTAAAGGTGTCTAGGCAGAGTATTTACATGACAGGATCAGATTAACAAACAAGCTCTACTTGATCTGCCTTATACTTGCCTGAATTCTTCATTTTTAATTGTAATGTTGGACATGATTCTCGCCAACATAATGAAGTTTTATGTGTCAACTCGTTATGCACCATATAGGCCGTTGACAACCCAGCAGTTGATTTATTTTGTATTTGCCTCCTAAATTGGTTGCTGTCCCCAGCTAACAAGCCTCAACCATGATGTTTACTGACCTGACTAATTTTGTCTAATTTACTATTATGTAATATAGATCTGGGCTTCCTTCCTCCATGACTGTAAATACTACTGGAAACTTGCTCACAGGAACTTGACTAAAGCCAAGTTCAACAAGGATCTGGCTGTGAAAAATGATGCGGTGAGTATTATTCCTTCGGATGAGTATTCATAAATCTGAATCTGATTACCATATTATTTGCTGATTTGTTAAACTTTTTTGTTGATGAAAAGTGTAATAATGAAAACAATTTCAGTATTCTTAAAAATGAGAGTGTTAGCCATATATTGGAACAGTCTAAAAAATAAAATTTTCTATTTATAATTTAAAAGAAAATCATCTCAAGGCACATCATCACTTTCTGTGAAGTTTAGGAAATCAATACAAAATCAAATTTACATTACATTCAGTGTGTTCAAGTTTTGTAAAATTCAGTGTGTTCAAGTTTTTATGTCACTTCAAAGTATCAACATCATTCCTTTGTGGCCCCTGGGGAGCAAAGGGCTGCAACCACACTTCAAAGTATATTGTAATGAAATTTAAGAAAGTTAACCATTATGTCACTGTGACTCTTATCAGTAAATTTTAAGTTAACTTTTAAAATTTCATTACAAAACCGTTTGTATTACATCATTGAATATCTTGATACCCATGTGATAACCCCAGTTTTCTGCCACCCCCTCCAGCCCTCCACCAGCCCGGGGCCCAGCTTCACCACCCTCAAGTCAGCTCTGATCAAACACATGTCAGCTTTTGACCAGGAGCAGGCCAAGAAGGCCCAGAGACTACAGCACATCAACTCCTGGATAGAGTCCGTAGAGAAATATTCCCCTGGTCTTCAAGCTGAGGCTGCAGGTTTTCTTCCTGTTGATATTCAGCCACAAACAAACCAAAGGCAGTTTCCTGAAGAAGTTCATCAACCAGAAGACACATCTCCTCCGTATATTAACCAACCCGCGATTCAGTACTTACAAGATAGAAATTCCGAAAGTGCAAGATTTCAGAGAAATAAACCTGACCAGGATAATTTTATAAACAGGAACGAGAACCATTTATCCTACCCCGACACGCATGACCGGACTTCTCCCAAACCCATCAAAGCCACCCCGCCTAACGTCATCAAACCAAAGCCCATCACACATGCAAGCCCATCTTTATCCTCCCCCTCGTCAAACTCCGCGGCCCAAGCAGGACCTGTCGTACCCAGCAAGCCTGAACTGAAAGTGGATACAAACAACAACAGGAATAAAATCATCTACCAGGATGACTTTGGCTTTGAGCCCCTGTATGAAAGTCTACCCAACCCAGGGGCAACCTCGGAAGACCACGCCCCAAACTTGTCAGAGAATATCAGCTTCAGTCCACCTCTTAGTAGCCCCAAGTCACCTGATCTAGAAAACACTCATAAAAAAAATGCAAACTTTTTCAAATCTTTGTTGAAGCGCGACCAGAAAAGATCACCCGGAACGGACGAACACACCTCACACAAAAGCGTCTCCGCACCAATAAACAAACTCCGTCAAAATTTCTTCCAGAAATTGTCAGGCGGTGGCAGTTCTAAAAAATCTGAAGATTCAAAAACGTACCCACCTAAAGCTTCTCCAAGCAACGAATCACCGGTCAAACCTCTGCGGAGTTTACCGCGAGACCAGCCCACCTTCATCCCTCTGGACCTGCAGCCTGAGCCTGAGAACAAGAACCTCCCCAACTTGGAGGAAGCCAGGAAAAACATCAACTACCAGAACTATTTGTACAAAGAGCAGCAGAGATCAAACGAGGTGCCGCCAATACCATACCGCCCGGAGAACCTTGAAGAAGCTCACGGGAAAAATTTTCATGAGAATCAAGAACCTCTTTCATTAAGTTCAAAAGACAGAGCAAATCCTATAAACAAGGAACACCTCACACATAATGAGAGAGAATGTTCACCAGATACTAAAAAGAATTCAGACAAATTAAAAAATAGTGATATGGCTTCTCATCGACTTAGAAACAACCTTAATATAGATGGAGCTGATGGAAGTGGAGGTAGGTCTAGTGGCATCACAGGCAAACCTAGGGTCAGGGCACCCATAGCTCTGGGCAGCAACATGAGCATCTCTGAGGCTTATGGCAAGTCCACAGAACCAGCAGATCATAACGGACAGGGGAACTCAGATTTCCAGCAGACGCACTCCTCTAAAGAGAGAGTGCCGGCAGACCCAAGTTTTGGTCACTCTGCTCCTAGAACCAGCAACCCTGACCCCAAGTGGGTCAAGGCCAATCCTGTTCCTGTGTATAAAGCCAAGCTGATCCCGAATTATGAGAACCAGACGAAATACGATCCTCACTTTGGTGTGCGCGGCCAAGCTGAAGCACCTGCTCAAGTTCCTCACACCAACTCTGATTTCTACAGACAAGAGCTCCAGAAGAAAAGTGAACTCTATGTAGGCAACGGCAGCTACCCATCCCCTAACTACAAAACTGAAGCATCAGGTTCTTCATCGAACAAGTCCCCCAATCCCAACCAGTACCATGCATCTCCCATTGTTGTTTCCAGGGACGGTTACGTCAACAGCTTCGCTAACGAACAAACCAGAAACGCAGGTTCTCATGTTAATTCCAATGACCATCTCGTAGACTCCCAGAAAAAGAACTACGAAAATCAATTTCCCCAGCATGGGCAATCTCGGGCATATGCTGACCACTCGCCCCAGCAGTCGAGACAGAGTTCCAAAAATGTTGACCGTAACTTCAACCATGGACCAGATGGGTGGCGGGGTGTAGCCACGATTGGGCCGGGTGTGTACACGAATTCTGAGAATAAAAATAAACCTCAGGGTGTTCCAAGGAGCTCTAGTGCTCATGATGTTCTTGACAGGGACGTGGAGCAGCACAGTAGGAAAACACAGGCTCAGAGGAACCCAGAAAACCCTGAGATGAAACCTCCTTATAGAATATCCAGGCGGGACATAGCTGATAAAAAAATAACACCCAACTCGCATAGAGAGTACACAAACAACCAGGATCAAAATGGTCAGTCAGTCACAACTTTGATTGACAGGTTCGAGAAAAAACCTGATTTCAGCAGGTTGGGTCTCATTGACATGGACGATAAACCTCCATCCATGACCTCGACCCCGGTAGCTCGCAGAAGGGTCATGCTCAAGCCCCAAGATGACCTCAGTAAACCAGCAAGCCGGGCAACCAATGACCACACCAGGTCTAAATCTGCAGGCGGTGTAAAAGCCAGCCCAAGAGACCAAGTCCCCAACAGTCACATGCATAATGGTCAGTCGCATAATTCCAAACAACCTTTGAACTCTCAGGATCTGCTGCAGGGTAATTTAAAATCCCCACCGTTTGTATCTAGATCCCCGCACCAAGCCGTAGCACCGTTTTATATTCAACCTTCAGGGAGTTCACGCCCACATAGTCAAGAACGACATTCTAATCACGTCACAACATTGGAGAACTACAACTACGAGAACCAGAGAGGGACCAACCCACACAGCTACCACAGGGAGGCTCTCCACCACGACAGCAGGAACTACACAGAGATCAAGGCCGAGGACCAGATACAGATGTCCAATTTGAAAATCCACAGCCAGCCGTCCAGCGACCGGGGGAGGTCGGAGCCCAGGCAGTCCAAGCCGCATCCGTCTCATCACAGTCCCAGACAGGATAAAAACAACCATTTCTCCACGCCTTCCTCTCATCACACCAACCCTCCTCCCTCTCATCATTCCAACCCTCCTCCCTCTCATCACTCCAACCCTCCTTCCTCCCATCATAACAACCCTCCTCCCTCTCATCACACCAACCCTCCTTCACATCACTCCAACCCTCCTCCTTCACATCACTCCAACCCTCCTCCGTCTCACCACACCAACCCTCCTCCTTCACATCACACCAACCCTCCTCCCTCCCATCATAACAACCCTCCTCCCTCTCATCACTCCAACCCTCCCTCCCACCACACCAACCCTCCTCCTTCCCACCACACCAACCCTCCTCCTTCCCACCACACCAACCCTCCTCCCTCCCACCACACCAACCCTCACTCTAACCCCACTCCATCCAACCCTCCCAAACCAGCAGCTCGACAAAACTACCCCAAACCCCAACCCTACGAAGACCCCGCCCCCACACAACAGCACCCCTACCCCCAAGACCCACCCCCAAACGACCAACAACCCTACGGCCACACCCAATCCACCATCGTCCAGCCCCAACCCCACAGACAACAGCAGACCGTCCTACCCAGCTACACCCCAGCCCTGGACCCCCCTGACCTCAAACCCCCACCCTCCTCCTCCAACACCATCATTCACCAGACCCACTACGGCAACCCGCCCTACAACAACAGCAACGATGAGGTCCTACACGCCCAGTACTTTAAAAACGTTGAAAGCCAAAGACCCATCAAGTCGTCAAACTCAGCCTTCGAGCGACCCTTAAAGCCTGGGGCATCCTATGGAAGACAGCCAGGGGCTTTGGCTGTTGTTAAGCCCACTGTTATGAATATTTAAGTATCTCGTCTGTTGTAGTCAAGCCTTTTCATGAATTTATTTGTACATTTTTTTATTGCAACATTTCAGGTATTTGTTAAATTATATATATATAAAAAAAGAAACAAATGTACTTAAATTTAAAAAAAAATTATATTTCAAGTATTTGAAATAGTATATGTAAAAAAATGTAAAACGTCTAATTTAATTTGATAGTTGGTAAAGACAGTTCATGAATCCATGAAGTTGATTAAAAACAAGGAATTATAAGAGAGAACAAGGAAACTAGTACCGAAACAACCCCCACCATGCAATGCATTTTAGTGTGTCCTTCCTGTACACACTGGGCACATAATAACAGTATTTGGAGAAAATACTAAGTCAATATTTTACTACAGCATTTCTTTCAATGCATTGTGTTTAGAATGGATGATATTTAGTATGGACCATTTTAACAGGGGCCATTATGTACAATGGATCATTTTTTATATGGTCCACATTAAGTATGAACCATATAAAACATTGAGCGTATAGTGTGAAGATGTTTTGGACGACATATAATATTGGACCATATGTTGCATGGACCATGTCTGATATGGACCATTATTATAATATACTGTATTAGGTATGGATCATACTTTGTTGTATGTTAACATTTTTGTAATACAATCAACTTGTATTCTCTTTTTGATTGTGCATTTTCAGTTGTACATACAATGCAATTTCTGTTTCAAAATGTCACTAGAACAGAACTATAAAGCTTTAAAAACAAATTTTATATATCAAATGTTATCATCTGTTGTAAGAATGTGTTGCAAAAAAAATGTTTTTATGCAAGAAAGTTAAAGAAATATATTGTTTTTTATGCAAGAAAGTTAAAGAGATTATAAATATAAAATATATTTTTTGTAAATTAAAATACTGAAATATTTGTAGATTTTTAAAATTTAAATTAACAAAATCTAAAAAAATATTACCAGGGTAGATTTAAGACGTGACTGATTTTGTTTTTTTCTACAACTAAGTTTGGCCGCTTGTTTTAAAAAAATCTGGACAATTTTTCGTTATTTCCTGTCTGGTTTTGGCATACAAGGGCGATCTTAGTTGTAGGGCTGTAGTGCCATGCTGACTGACGTCATAACTGTACCAACTGTGAGTGCTCATATGTTTGAATCGTGAACGTTACAGTGTTGTATCCTACAAGTGAATTTTGTATTTAATTAACGAGATACAAGATGTCAAGGGTCACCCATAAAGATTACACACTCTTAGACGACTTTGTAACACATCGTCACACTTCATCCACCCCAACCCACCCACCCCCCTCAAAATTTCTATTTTTAGTTTTTCAAAACGTCGATTTCTTTGTGAGACATTGAGTATATTAATATATTTCTTACAATTAAAAAGTCCTTTAAAATCGCGAAATAGAAACTGAGGTTCAGTTTCTAAAATTTTTAAAATGTCAGCGCTGTCACTTTTTCTAACCCCCCCCTCCCCACCCACCCAATCACACATCGTTGCAAAATTCGTA